TGCCGATGGATCATGGACGCCTGGGCTAAGGGATCAGTCTCAAGTGTCGTCCGTTTGTTTTGCGTTATAATTATGTATGAAAATAGACGAGAGAATTCAACATGACTGATATTGCGCCTTATAATCCTAAAAATACGGTACAGACGGCGATCTGAGAAGCTCCACATCGCCCCTTTAACTAACAAACTCTCCGCAGTACATTGCTATTCTTAACCACGCTGCAGTAATTACAGTTTCGGCACATTTCAACCATCAAAATTTGTAACTGTTGTCAATTTAAGACCAGGCCTGACTCATTGCCAACTTTAATGACACATGCAATTTTCCCAGCTTGACACATCCACCGCTCGGGCTTGAAGTCGGCCCCCTCTCTCCCCCGCTCTTATTATAGTGAACACTTCCACATGAGCCTCTTTAGATAAATAATGGCCACCACGAGCCGCACACGGTTTTTATCGCAAGCACATGGACGCGTTCATGCTTCCCCCTCGCTGGGTAAACACACATGCCCGGGCCACACGCATGACTGGGCGCTCCCGACCGCACCGACGCGCATGTATACGGTTAATGCGTATGGCGTACGGGGGAGGGGGGAGTCGATCCACCACCCCGCGGGCTTTATGGAGGACCTCTCTCGTCTCCTCTCTCTCGTTTCCTCTCTTCTCGCCGCTCCAGTTCGATGCCAGATGGCGCTGTGATGCATTGACGTAGCCTCCGTATCGGCCCGTCGCTGGCCGCGCTCTGCCACCGCTGAGTGTTGTCCCCGAGGGCCAGAGAGTGTTCGCTCGTCCTAGTTCTGCTGCTGCCGCTGCTGATGATGCCTGTGTGTTGGAAGCTTTCTCTCTTTCTCTCACACAGACACACACTCTCCCTCTCTTTCTCTCTCTTGCTTTTTCTCTTACACTTGCTTTTTCTTTCTCTCTTTCTCTCTCACACACACACACTCTGGCTCTCTTTCTGTCCCTCTTTGTCGCTCTCTCACACAGATACACATTCTGCCTCTCTTTCTCTCCCTCTTTCTGTGCTTTCTTTGCTCTCTCTCTTTCTCACACGCAGACACACACTCTCCCTCTCTTTCTCTCCTTCTTTCTCTTGCTTTTTCTCTTACACTTGCTTTTTCTTTCTCTCTTTCTCTCTCTCACACACACACACTCTGCCTCTCTTTCTGTCCCTCTTTGTCGCTCTCTCACACAGATACACACTCTCCCTCTCTTTCTCTCCTTCTTTCTCTTGCTTTTTCTCTCTTACACTTGCTTTCTCTTTCTCTCTCTCTCGCATAGACGTACACTCTGCCCCTCTTTCCCTCTCTCTCTTGCTTTCTCTCTCACACGCACACGTTGCCTCTCTTTCTCTCCGTCTTTCTATCTCTCTCACACACACACACGTACACACTCTGCCTCTCTTTCTCTCCCTCTTTTTTGCTGTCTTTGCTCTCTCTCTGTCTCTCTCTCTCTCACACACACAGACAGAGACACACACTCTCCCTCTCTTTCTCTCCTTCTTTCTCTTGCTTTTTCTCTCTTACACTTGCTTTCTCTTTCTCACTCTCTCACATAGACACACTCTCTGCCCCTCTTTCCCTCTCTCTCTTGCTTTCTCTCTCTCTCACATAGACACACACTCTGTCGCTCTTTCCCTCCCTCTCTCTCTTGCTTTCTTTTTCTGACACTCTCACACTGCCTCTCTTTCTCTCTCTCTCCCTTGCATTCCGTCTGTCTCTGGCTTTCTATTTCACTCTCTCACGCTCCGTCCTCTTTTTCTCTCTCTCACTCTCACCTTCTTTCTGCCTTCCTCTCGCTCTCTCTCTCTCTCTCTCTCTCTCTCTCTCTCACACACACACTCTGCCTCTCTTTCTTTCCCTCTTTCTCTCTCTCTCTCTTGCTTTGTCTCTCACTTTCTATTCCTTTTTTCTCTCTCTCTCTTACCCTCTTTCTCCCTTCCTCTCTCTCTGTCTCCCACTCTCTCTTTCTTTCTCTCTCTCTCTCTATTGCTTTCTTTCACTCTTTTCTCTCTCTCTCTGGCTTTCTTTTTCACTCTCTGACTCACACTCCCTTTCTCCCTTCCTCTCTCTCTCTTTCACTCTTTCTCTCTGACACACAAACACTCACCCTTTTTCTCTCTCTCTCCCTCTTTTTCTCTCTCATTCTCTCTTCTCTTTCTCTTTCTATCAGTTCCTTTACAAAGGCAGAAGAGCATATGAACCGTCGACAGCGTTCACGTCCATTAGGCCTTCACCTCGTCGCATCTCACACCGTCCACGTTCTGTAGACGGAGGAAAACGTAATGACAGAGCACGATTTGTACAGAAAGGTTAAAGGTTTTACAGCGGTAATCAATAAAGACTTTTTTTTTTTCATAAATTTCATAAAAACAGCTATGTATACAGGCGCGGAAGCAAACAGCGCCAAGGTTTTCCCGTTTTTTGCTACTTTATTGCGTCAAAGTTCCACAAAAAATACCCTTTGTTGACGTTTCAAAACTCGATCTAATTATCCGTCATCTCATAAAAAAACGCGCCGAGTTGACCGCCAAGCGACTCTTTGGCACATTTCAATCCGCGACCACAAACGACAGAAAAACCACAGTATCTCAAGTAACCGCGCCATTATTGCCATGAAAGCTGATTAGCACACGCCTCGCCCCCCCCACACACACACCCACCCACCGTCGCTGTTTCATTTAGCTCACTTTGTTAATTATGAATCGGTCGCCTCTCTTCATCAGTCCCCAGTGTGAACGTTCCCCTGCGCCCTCCGCGTCTCTGTGGCGTCGAGAAATGAAAGAAAATACGCCATTTATGTAATCAGAAAAGCACACGTCAAGCTGCGCGTAATGTACACTTTAAAATGTCCGCTTTCACTTTTTATTAACGGGATAATTCTGCGTGTGAATAGGCCCGTCGTGATAATTACTATATCGACTTTTGCATTTTGGAGTGTCATTATTTATCTTGGGTAATTTTTGGTTATTTTTAACAATATTGTACATTTAAAACACTTTCGGGAGGATAATTTTGCTTCATGTTTTGGTTTATGTTTGCATCAGCAATAGGGCTGCTCAATTACAGAAAAAAATCATTATCACGATTATTTTGGTCAGTACTGAAATCACGATTATTGAAACGATACATTTTTAGTTACACAATGCATTTATTCAGCATTTCTCTCTCAAAAAACCCACTTTGTTATTGATAATTTACGCAAAACTTTCAAATTGAAAATAAATTCAGGCTACAAATATGAACCTTTGAGCAGTTTTGAGATGTATAAAACAAAAAATGAATAAAATATACTTGAAATTTATACATAGAAAAACATAAATGTATCCAAAATAAGCTATATATCCATCCGTTCTACAAAAAATAAAATAAATATACTTATTAAAATAAAAAAATATCCCAAAATAAACATTGTTAAGCTTTCGTTTGAACTTGATGATATGAGTTTGGAGATCGTTTGACACAAAATTCAATTAATTGCACAGTAGGGATGTAACAATAATCGAAATATCGTGATATCGTATCGCCAAAAGTCTCACAATAATATCGTGGCCCGTCACAAGATATCGAATCTCAAGTCTCTTCACTTAAATTCATTGTTTTGGTGCAGCAATAGTTAAAAAACAGTGAGAACTACATAGACCATGATCCTTTGCTCTGTTTTAGTCCAATCTACTGCTGAAATAAGTGTTTAAAATCGTAATTTTGGGGATTTTTGGATTGCCTCGACAAAATATCGCAATAAATATCGTACCGTGAGATGGATATCGTCAGAATATCGTATTGAGAGACTTGGATATCGTTACATCCCTGTTGCACAGCCTTAATCGGCAATTGAACAGTAGGGATGTAACAATAACAAAAATATCATGATATCGTATCGTCAAAAGTCTCTTTGCTTAAATTGACTGTTTTGGTGCAGCAATAGTTAAAAAACAGTGAGAACTACATAGACCATGATCCTTTGCTCTGTTTTTGTCCAATCTACTGCTGAAATAAGTGTTTAAAATCGTAATTTGGGGGATTTTTGGATTGCCTCGACAAAATATCGCAATAAATATCGTACCGTGAGATTGTACAGCCTCACTCAGCCATATATAGCACTTCAAAAACCTGTAATCGTGACTGAAATATGAGATAAACTGTACGTATATTTCCGTACGTTTTGATTGTTGTTTTGCTTTGAGCCACAAAGGCATTCTGAATGTGAAGTAATTGCTAACCGTTTCAGGCATGAGGCAAATTCATTTAGCTGATAAGTACATGTTTTCACTTCCAACTCCTGACCACAAACGTGCGTGTGAGTGTACGTGAGTGTAAATGTGTGTGTGTGTGTGTCTGGAATGCTGCAGGGAGCTCAACGCCACCATGAGACTAAATGGCAACATCATTGTACGTTTTGGGGAATGATTTGGGGAAAATGAAAGTACACTTGGAGAGAAACCGCCTCGGGGGCTCTACGTCTACCCGTCTACCGCTGTTCCCCTCTCTCGCATTGTTTCTCCACTCCCCTGTTTTGTATGCCGTAGCTGTTCTGACATTTTCCCACCAAACGCAAGCGAGCTGGCTGTTTCCGTCTGCCTCATTATCTCAACTTTCAAAATCCGCACATATACGCCACCTCCCCCCTCCCTCCTCCATCACCACCCCTTGAAAAATTAATGAACACAATCAGTAATTACCGCATCAATAATTAACCCGGCTGCTCGAATTTGAAAGATATGGCGGCAAACACTTACATAATGAATGACTTTGCATCTCTTAAAGGACCCATATTGTGTTATTTTCTGACGAATTTATCAAAAACTTACCTGGAGTTTTGTTTCGTTCACGTTTTTCATGACGTAACAAAGCGTTTTTAGCGTGCGAGTGAAATAAAACGCCGCTCCAGGTCTGTTTTTAAGGAAGTAACAACATTATAACACGTCTTAAAACTCACAAACGCCAATTTTGTGTAACTTTGTGGTTTTTTTCTCACCGTCTTCTCTTTTTTTTTCCGCAGATTCATCCCAGGCCAGGGCGTGGTATTGTACCCTCAAATCGGGGATAAGTTGGACATTGTTTGCCCGCGGGTGGATGGCGGGATTGGCGAAGGCGTGGAGTATTACAAAGTGTACATGGTGCCAAGGGACCAACTGGAAAGCTGCACCATCACAAAAGCCGACACGCCCCTCCTGAACTGTGTCAAGCCCGACCAGGACGTCAAATTCACCCTCAAATTTCAGGAGTTCAGTCCCAACTTGTGGGGGCTGGAGTTCTTCAGAGGGAAAGACTACTATATCATCTGTAAGTATACGAATGGAGTTATTTATTTGAGATTATAAGCATTTTAAAAGACCAGTATTACAGTATTTTCAGATCTATGTTGTAATTTTCCTCAAGAAAAACAGACCTCAAGTTGTGTTTTGTTTTATTTACACATGTTTAACGCACAGACCCAGCGTATTTAAGCTTCTCTCAAACAAAAACACGCTCTTCCAACTTGTGAAGTCATGTGTTGATACAGGAAGTGCTCCAGTCCGTACACTTTCACTTGAATCATTTGTATAATGTCAGGCCTGGAAATGCAAATTTCTACTGAACAAAAGGGAGCTGTTAACTAGGGATGTAACAATAACCAAAATATCATGACATCGTATCGTCAAAGTTCTCACAATAATATCGTGGATAATATCATGACAATATATCGAATTACAAGTCTCTTTGCTTAAATTAAGGGTTATGGTGCAGCAGTAGCTAAAAAAACAGAAGGAACTACATAGACCATGATCCTTTGCTCCATTTCAGTGCAGACTACAAGAAGGAATAACAGTTCTAAGCACTTATAAGTCTTAGTTCTTTGGATTAAGTCTTGTCAGTTATAGCTCTACAAAATATCACAATAAATATCGAACCCTGAGATTTATATGGTGAAAATATCATACTGAGAGATTTGGATATCGTTACATCCCTAATCGTGAGCTTTCCCACGATATCACAGTAAATATCATACCGTGAGGTTCATACCATTACGATATCGTATCGTGAAACTTGGATATCATTTACACCCCTAATTATTTCCGAACATATGCGCTTTGTGTTTAAAGGGACGACAATAAATGCACTGACAGTATTTTGAAAGTTAAAAAACTATAATCCCAAACCATAAGGTGAGTTGAAAGGGTTAACACTTCATATTTAGCCCTAAAAGTTAAATATCGTACCGTGAGGTTCATACCGTGACGATATCGCATCGATTCATGCCAATTCATGACATTGCAAGGCGGAACAGGTCATTCTGAGCTTTGGAGATGTCCACAGACTAATAATAAATAATTACTCATGTGTGAATGAAACAAAACACAACTTTGGGTCTGTTTTTGATGACGTAAGAACATTCTAACATGACTAAAAGCTCACTAGAGTCAACTTTTACTCAAACTTTTACTCCTTTTACCAGTTTCTTAAGTTGCTAAGTTTTTCCATATACTCACAACCACAATTCTGCCATTATTTTTTTGGCAAGGTGACCCCACTACTATTAGTAATCGCAAGTACTCTCCCCAAAGGTATAATAAATTAGCTGTTACATAATTTAGGAGCTGGAGAGGACCAGCTGTCTGCAACATACCTCACATAGCAAGGCGCGACTCGGTGCAAAAACTAAACGCCTTCAATCAATTTGGAAAGGCATTTTTACAATCCCAAAGCTGTTATTATGCGTCCCAAACTCCGAGGTGAGTTCAGGTGGCGCCGGCAAAATGTTCGAAAACAGAACGCCACGCATGCAATTTGATTTTAAACCTCTCGCTGGGTTGTAAAGTCGAATATCTGCGCCAAAAGTTGTTGAGACATGGAAAGAAGGAATGCTTGAAAAGGTGTCAGTCCACCCACTTAATGTAGCAACTGCGTTACTAAGCGTTCGAGGTGAGAGGAGCGATGTGTATCTGTAGGACTCCGAATGCCTCAAAGGAGCGCGCGGTTTCTGTGATTCTGGCAGAGTCTTTCGTTTTCGATGTGTGTGGCGTTTACCGATCGACCGAACCGTTTCAGAGCGGCGCAGGTATCGCCGGTGGTGCCGCGTGGAATGGCGTCCTCGGAGGAAGCGGAGATGAGGATTTTAGTGACGGCCCCCCCCAAGTTTGAAACGCGGGTGGTGGACCGAACCATCTGCGCGGTGTAGACGGGGGGTGCCATCTGTGACGCTCTGGCACTGCCATCTGTGAGCTGTCACTGCACAGGGAGGCCTCATAGTGACTGCGCAACCCGACAAGGAGAGAAGTTGGGAATAATCTGTGGATTTTTTTAACAAGTTAAAACCAATTTGGGCCGGAAGTGGTGCAGTAAGTTAGGGATTTTTGTAGTATGAATGAACCAGAAGGTAGTTGGGTTGAATCTTGCTTGAACACCTGCCCATTCTTGTTCTTGTAATCTGGATGGTTGCCAGAGGAAGGGCATCCAGCATAAAAATCATATAATTGTCACATGATTGGTTCACAATGGAGGACTGAGATTAAAAAAGTTAAGAAGTGGGCCAGTATGAACCAGAAGGGAGTTGGTTCAAGTCTTGTTAGCTCCTATATTTACAGTAATGTTGTTTATTTACAACTTAAGCCCCATTACTTGTCATTAAGAATGTAAAAATATCCAAATCTCTCAGTACGATATTTTGTGGAGGCAAAAAAATAATAATAATACAAAACTGTGAGTATGCTATTTTCCTCTCGTCATCCAAAAATCCCCCAAAATTACGATTTTAAAGTGCTTCATAACAGTTATTTCAGCATGTACATTGGACTGAAACAGAGCAAAGGATCATGGTCTATGTAGTTTTCACAAATTTTTTGTTGTTTTTGCACCAAAACAATGATACGATATATCGATATTTTGATATTTTACACACCTCTAATTTAGGGAACCTTCCACTAGTAAAGTTATGTCAGATTGACACAAACTTTATTAATTAAATGGAGCAGTAAAAAAACACTTAGTGACAAACGAACATTCAAACTCGAGCTCTGAGGACTAAAAAGCTCACAAAAAAATGACGATATCCAAATCTCTCAATCGATATCCATCCCACGGTACGATATTTATTGCGATATTTCGTGTAGACAAAAAAATAATCATAATATAATAATATAATAATAATACAAAATTGTGAGTATGCTACTTTTCATCCAGAAATCCAGAAAATTACGATTTTAAAGTGCTTCATAACAGGTATTTCAGCAGTAGATTGGACTGAAACAGAGCAAAGGATCATGGTCTATGTAGTTCTCACTATTTTTTAACTATTGCTGCACCAAAAGAATGAATTTAAGCGAAGAGACTTGGGATTCTATATATTGTGACGGTCCACGATATTATTGAGAGACTTTTGACGATATGATATCACAATATTTCGATTACTGTTACGTCCCTGCTTGTTATGGTATTCTATCTCGTTGCCAGAAGAAGGGCATACAGCATAAAAATCACAGAATTGTCACATGATTGGTTGACAAGAAGATAAAAAAAATAGTATGTAGCAGAATAGTTGATTTGATTTTACTTACACCCCATTACTTGTTGCTGGTGATGTAACAATAACCGAAATACCTGTGATATCGTATCGTCAAAAGTCTCACAATTTATCGAATTACAAGTTAATCTGCCTAAATTCATTGTTATGGTGCAGCAAAAGCTAAAACAACATAAGGAACTACATAGACCATGATCCTTTGCTCCATTTCAGTGTAGTCTACAAGAAGAAATAACAGTTCTAAGCACTTTTAAGTTTTGTCAAGGCATTTTTAGAGGAAAAATGTGCGTATTGACGGTTTTGTTAGGCTCCTGAACATCGTACCATGAGATGGATCTTGTGAAAGTATCGTCCAGAGAGATTTCGATACCGTTGCATCCCTACTTGTTATAGTAACTTTATGCGGTTGCCAGGGAAAGGGCATCCATCATAAAAATAACAGAATTGCCACAAAGGGAACAGTTGAATCATGTTAGAAAGTTTAGGCTTTAAATCAAGTTCCTAATCTCCTAAAGCCGACCACAAAGTACACATTGGGCAATCTCTGCTTCTGTAAACCTAAATATGGTGAATCATGTTTCATAGATAGAGTCCACAAATTTACAAACTTTTTCATAAATCAGTAAATTAAACTCTGCACGGATGAGAAACGCCACTGCGAGACCCTTGCGACGGACGTGCGGTCAGTCTTCGCTTCCAAAAATCGAAATATTTGAACCATATTTCGTCGACAGATTCCGCAAATTTACAAACTTTTTCATAACTCAGTAAATGAACTCTACGTGAATAAGAAGCGCCACTGCGAGACCCGTGTACCAGATGTGTTTTTCCCCCGAAACAGGTTCCCAAACAGTGGCTTCTCTGTGGCTAATGTGTCATAGCTGCAGGATATTTGCATGCTGCTGCACATCCCGCCGAGCTCGTGTCTAACAGGTGTGAGGCTGGACGCACACTGAGCAAATTAAGTCAATGAAAGCTTGCCTTTTTGTAAATATGATGCAGGTTTAGCAGATCGGATTATTCACAAAGGTAATGGGCCGTGATAATGCATTATTTTTGGTGCTGTTAGGCGTGTTTAGGCGTAATAGGTCCATGTAGAAGTTGGGAAACAGCCTATTAGGCAGTCGTATTGTTGAAATAAAACGCTTTCTCTTTAATACTCGCTGTTGAAAGCCGGTTTAGTAGTTTAAGGCGTGTTTTAAAGGTGCACTGTGCAACTTTTCTGACTTGAATTACGCCTATTTATCTCGCATTTATTTAATTACTGGTGTTCCTGTGGCTCAAAACGATGCAGAAAAACACGCATTATTATTACTGTGAGCTGGGTCACCTCTCCGCATTTCTGGCCTGCCAATCTCCATGGAAACCTGTTCGTTCAATGCCATACCGTGGAACATTCTAGGCAGAACAATAACATCGTTTAGGGAGGGCTGGGTATGATTAAGAAGTGGCCGACGCGATACATACCTCGATACGTAGGCCACGGTACGATTCATATCGCGATACATAGGCCACGGTACGATACATACCTCGATACATAGGCCACGATACGATACATATCTCGATACGTAGACCACGGTGCGATACGTATCTCGATACATAGGCCACGATACGATACATATCTCGATACGTAGGCCACGGTATCATAAATACCTCGATACATAGGCCATGATACGATACATATCTCGATACGTAGGCCACGATACGATGCATATCTCGATACGTAGACCACGGTGCGATACGTATCTCGATACATAGGCCACGGTATCATAAATACCTCGAT